GGCAGAGAGAGAGAGAGAGGGGACGACATGCAGCAAAGGGGCGCAGGTCGGACTCGAGCCCACCATGTATGCACCTATGTGTAAAGGCCCATCCCAACCCTGAAATCTACGGCTCCCCTGGTGTAATTCGAACACTGGTTTTTAGTGAAATTAGATATTCTTCACTCTCAGGCGTTCTCTCAACCAGTGAAACCACAGCTTATGTACTTTACCGTTCCCACCATGAATCATTTTTATTGGTAGAAAAGAATTTTATTGTATTGATTATTTCATATACTTCACAGCATTGTCTTGAGAAGTGATTCAGTGCTGCATCAATCATCCATGTGAATTATCAAACTGTTTCAGTGCTGAAAGGGTTGTAGCATAATAAAATAAAGCAACAAAAATACATGTGCGGTTGCCGAATGACCCCGCAGAGACCATACAGCAGTAAGCACATTGGACCTTTAAATGCTACACAAAGGCCTGGGCTCTCTAATGTTATTAAGACAGAGCAGATGGACAACACTCTAAGATTGGTTTTCATTAAGCCCATCAAAAGAGCAGACCTGCATCAAGGTCAGATTTACCTCTCAGAATATCATGGCTGTAGATTACTTGTTACTAGTGAACCTGCATTCTCAGGGGGTTGTTGAAGGTCAGATCCGGCTGCAAATGTGTTTAAATATGCCAGGTCTCATATGGGGCCTCTTTAAACAGGCTACTGTTTCAGACAAAATTAAAGAACCATAGAGACTTCCTGGCTCTTGCTGTAATTACAGTTACTCATCATGGATAGATTACTGCAAAGTAGGCATGTGCCCAGGGCCCTGGACTTTTAGGTAGAGAGAAATATGTGTGTAAGGAAGAATTAAAGGTCCAGTGTATAACATTTAGAAGGAGGATCTATTGGCAAAAATAGAATATTATATTGATAGGTATGTTTTCATTAGTGTATAATCACCTGAAAATAAGAATTGTTGTATTTGTTACTTTAGAATGAGCTGTTTCTATCTACAAAGGGAGCGGGTCCTCTTCTATAAAGTCTGCCATGTTGAACCGCCATTTTTTCTACAGTACAGAAGGCCCTTCACACTTCAAGTTTCAGAGCCACCGTAGTTTCTCCTACATGCTTGGAAGCTAGTTGCAATCTGCAGCTTTACCTCGACATGCCACTAAATACACACTGGTAATTTAAAATCCACATGAAACATAAATCAGAGAGTTATTTGCTTCAGCATATTTACATATTTTCACTAAAAACAGACAGCTAGAGAGGGATTTGTTGCAGTAGTTTACTGTTTTCCCCACAGATACCTAAACAGCAAAAATAATATTCTATTATATTTTTAATATTATGTGCAGAAGGACATGTGATTATGAAATAATATGACCAGGAATTTGTATTAATATTCATGGGTGTAGTGCATTCAATAAAATGAAAGTAATGTATTGAGACTGAATGGAATGAATACTAATGTCTGAATGACTGAGGCAGAATAAGAGTGACAGCAGCAGATGATGATTTAAGGGTACTTTGTGGAGTGTTCAGGTTTGCAAATGTTTTATGAGGAAGGAAATGCATGCAATGCAACAAGTTTGTTCGACCTCAACGTAATTGAAACCAGCTCAGATAAAGAAAAGTCAACAGTATCCCTCTGTTTGCAACATGTTGTAAATTTCACTTGGTGGGGTTGTATATTTAAGGTTTATTCTCCACTAAATTCCTGCACCACACCTACAATACAGTGCCATTACTGCAGGTATCAACCAAGGCAGAATATTTAACATGCAGTCATCTGAAAATTGAACTGAATTTAGAAATGTTCCTTACTTTTATTTATAGAAAGAGATTTTGGACATATTTGTAGAAACAGCATCTAATATTCAAGCCTCTGGGTGGCTGTTAACAGCTGTTAACTAACATTAGGGGGACTAAAATTGATAATGCCAGAACTACCAAAAATGTACTCTCCCTGGATAATACCAACTTTAGGTGTGCCGTGACTGCAGGATAATGAAGAAAACTTTCATTTCTTCTTTTTGGTAATTACAATTTTGACCAAATAAGTTTAAAAAAAAAATCAAGGATACATTTATCCTGACTTCTCGGACAAAATTGAATTTTACTTTGAACACTCGTGTCTAAAAAATAAGAGCATCTGTGAAGCCCACTGTGACTATTAAAGCAGTAGAATTTGTGTGGCCTACCCCCTCTGCCAGTGATACCAAACATACGTCAGTCCTGTGCTTCAAGCGGCGTCAGAAACCCACATTCATCGTGTGAGAGCAAATCTCTGAGCCATATCCTCTAAGTCATGTGAACAAGTGGAGTCCTGAATATTTTTAAGGGAGAATCAACATCACAATATAAATTAGTAATATAAACCAAGAGTTACAAACCTAAAACAATGCAGTTGAAGTGCATCTCTGACATATGAAGACAGCAGATGAAAGCCGCCACAAACTCTAAGCTGTTCCTTGAGAATGTCTGATTCACTCATTAGTCCGTTTTTACAGTAGGGGAAACCTCATTATTTTCACCTCTAATGTTGCTCCTGATGGTAAGAACTCGTAAACATGTTGGTTGCTCATAACAGCAACATCATTAACGCACCATGCAGTCTTTAGTATTTTTATGAGTCTGCTGTATCTGTCTATGGAATTAACCAGCATTACCAATGCAACACAATATCCAATCACACACAGTGATCAAAATTCTACCTATGTGATGCCAAAAATTAAAATTGAAAGTGTGATCTGTTAAAAGGTTAAAAAAAAAAGGTATTGTATCATTGTTTACAGGACAGTTAATTGCATCTATGTATTTTTTGGAAACATTGAATATACAGTAGTTCACCAACTAGCCCTACAGCCACATTGCACAGATGGATTTCACTGTGTCACTTCTACATTCCTCCTTCAATTGTTATTTTTATGTGTTTATGGTATTGTTGTTGCTGTAATGTTTTTCTAGCATATTTGTATCAACTTTCTATCCTCTGAAGCTCATTGTAACTTCGGAAATAGTTGTTTAAATTGTTTACATAAAGCCTTTATTTTTCTTATTCTTATTATACTGTCCAATATCTGAATAATTACTTCATGGCCACCTGAATCTGAATTTGACCTTTTGTCAGGCCATGATGTCAATTGTGACTAGGGTTACAAATATATGATATTCAAGATGGAAACTTTCCATTTAAATGAATGGGATATTATTGGAGTTAACAGAAAAATAACAGGAATACAATGGAAATATAGGAGTTAGTTATCATTATATTATTATTACAGATAGATAGCAACATTAGCAGAAGGTGTAAGTTATAAGTAAGTAACTGTGTAACCAACTTTGCTTTAGGCTATTATGTGCTGCCCCTAACTAAACTGTCATAAAAAATATAAAATATGTTCAGTCCAGTCATATAATCAAAACCTACCTGAAAGCATGCAGTCCTTTGGCCTTAGATAGCACAGCAGTGTTGGCAGTAGGGTGGGCTAAACATGTAATGGGACAATGCACACTGCATTCGGAGGGTTTTAATTTTACTGAATTTTAATTGGATGCTGGCAAATTATCTGTACATGTGATGGAAGAGTGCGCTGCTGCATGCAGTTCACGGTTACAATTCAATTAAATGGACATACTTTCAACCAAAACATGCCATAGTATTACATTTTTATGAGCATTTTCACTATTCACCATTCAAATGTATGATTTTTATATTGAAATTGTACCAAAATATTCCAAAATAACTTCCCTTTGGAACATTTCCAGAAACTTACCAACCCTTGGCCCTCCCTCCTGCTGGGAGAAGTGGCTGCTCTCTGTCTCCACGCACCCTCCCATCCACTACAGCTTCATAAATACCACAGCATTTTGCTCGGTGTGACAGTACATATGGCAATTCGTACTGTAGCTACTACAGTAGTCTTCTACTGCTGACACAGGCTTCCTTTTGGAGAACTTGCTGTCATCTAGTTTCAAGCTCAGCAGTAGCTAGTGGAGAACAACTTTACTGAATCCATTTTGATCCAGAGACAGACATGTACGCCAAGAAATCTGAACAGGGGCCACACAAAGGAAGGTCTTTTGACTCTGTAAACTCTGCTTATGAGGAGAAGCAGCTCAATAATGAAGTAAGTAGAAATAATGATGCTTGTGTTCTGTGTGTCTTGAAAGGCTCACATAAGAGAAGATTGGACTTCTGGTTTAGTTGCAGTTTTAAGTTGTTTGACCACAGCTGATGACTCTGTGCTGGCCGTCAAAGTTGTCAAGTTGTTTCTATTATATATATACATATATATATATACAGTATATGGATGACATTCTATATTCTACAGCTCAATCAGGACAAAACTGAAGTCTTTGTCATCAGTACTGAAGCTCAGAGATTATTACTCAGTTACAATTACTTCAAAACTCAGCAGCACATGCGTTGATGAGCGCACATTAGACCAATTTTAAGTTTTATTGTGTGAAGCACTTTGTGTTACATTTTGCTCGTGTTAAAAGTGCTATACAAATAAAGTTTGATTGATTGATTGATTAATTGATTGATTGATAAAATTGCACATTATTTAAAGTCCAGGTAAAAAATATGGTCAACTTTTGTTTTATTAAAAGAACTAAATTAGCTATCCAACCTGCAAACTGATGTTAGCAGTGCCTTTCCAGCCTGCTAAATTGTATCAGAACCAGTTTGTCTATGGTTGTAAGTTAAAGTTAAAAGGAGAATTAGCAGAAGAACTAATGTGAGTTGTCTGTGGCTCTTATGTTGTATAGTGGGCTGCTTTCTGGCTCAGTGTGACAGTCTGCTTTGCCTGTGATAGAACACTGACATAACAGCTTTATGCAACATTAGACGTAATGGTATTCCATCAAATTGATGCAAAATCGTGAAACCACATAATACAATTTATTTCTTTGTTTTGGTTTCAGACTTTTTTTTTCAAAGGAGAACACAGAACATGGGATTCATAGAGCAGATATGTTGCAGACAACAACATTTGAATTTAATTTCAGTGGGACTTATTCTGTGTTGACTAATTTCACTGCAACATGTAAAAAAAAAAAAGAAAAGAAAAATTGAAAGGTAACCCGCTCTAATGTGGACTAAAATGAGATGTTTAGCAATTTCTGAAAGGTTTATTATAACATGTGTTGAATCAAAGCCAGGGGCCCCTCGTGCAGCAGGTTTATGTAAAATCACACAGCGAAGAACCAACAGAAAATGTTCTTATGCACAGGTCTCTGGAATTACATTAAGTGTTTCTTGAATATTGAACATTAAATTTCGATCCTGTTCAACTAATACAGAGCTCAGTTACACACTGTAATATGCATATAGATAAAAGACAAGCACATTATAATATGTAAATATATATTTTTATTTAAATCTTCACCAGTTGGACAACACATACGACAGCATACGTCTACAGTACCTTTATCTTTCTGCTTAGTGGGTCTGTTGACCAATGAGCACTGAACACATGTTTTTTATTATTTATTTTAGGCCGCAGGGGAATCTCTGATGCATACAATATGTATAAATGTTTTTTTTTGTTTTTGTTTTTTTACATATGATTAAGGTTACCTTTAGTAAAATTGATGAGAACCAGGACAATAGGAGCATCTCCACTGAAAGGCCCACCAGCTCTGAGAAAAGCAGTGCAACTATCATATTCTCCCTGAAAAATGAAGTTGGTGGTCTTGTCAAGGCACTAAAGCTTTTCCAGGTGGGTGTTTGATTTAAAGTTTTTAAATTATGCCATAGCATGCTTTGTCATCTTTAAAAATTGTGTTTAGAGGCTTTTCCATCTCGTATGTTATATGTGCAGGAAAAACATGTCAACCTCGTTCATATCGAGTCTCGCAAGTCCAAACGAAGGAATTCAGACTTTGAGATTTTTGTGGAGTGTGACACCGAGCACGAGCAGTTCAAGGATCTGACTCAGCTGCTGAAGAAGCACACTGATGTTATTGAGATTATTACGTTTGACAACTCCATTGTACCTGATGAAGGTAGGCCATACTTTAATCTTGACTGAACTCATATGCAATGTTATTTTAACTCTGAACTCAATTTAAAGTTAAAAAACATTATATATTCCCATGTTCTTATTCTATTTTGTTTTCACAGTATAAATAAAAATGACAAAATTAAGTCAGTGTCACTTAAAGCTACTTGATCAAGAATGTTTTTTGACTTAAACTGAATTAGTTTTTAGTAACATTAATAACGTATGTGGTTCAAATCTAATTCCCGAGGTTTGTATTAAATTATGATTACATGCAAATGCTGAAATTCATCTGAAACCTGTATTGTCTTTCAGATATGGCTGGTGTGCCCTGGTTCCCTAAAAAGATCTCTGATCTGGATCTGTGTGCAGACAGGGTTTTGATGTACGGCTCTGAATTAGATGCAGATCATCCGGTATGTGGGACGGACGCTGTTGTTACAGCTCACATACATTTCCGCTTCTTGTCTAAAATGACAGACAGACAGCTTCAGCGTCTTTACTTTTATAATGAGGAAACAGTGAAAATATGGACTGAGACTGTGCTGTCTTTGCAGGGATTTAAAGACAACATATATCGCAAAAGAAGAAAATATTTTGCTGATTTGGCCATGAGCTACAAACAGTAAGTTCCATTGTTTCTTTGACTGTGATGCATTTGAAACTGTTTAAGTTTTGCTTTGATGTATAAAACTGATTTAGGTGACATATTTCAATAACAAAATAAACTATATAAATAGGCACACTGTAGTAAATATGAGCAAAATGATATGTGAAAAAGTTTGTATTGAAAATACTCCCAAAAATCATACCTCTAACTGAAGAAACTTTTCCTAAATATACATATTTTGTCTCAGAAAGTGAGAGCACACTGTTTGTTTTACAAAGAGAAAAAACCTCAATGCCTTTATTTTGGTTAATTTATAAAGTATTTAAAATGTGCATTGTTTTACTAATGATGAATTTGTGATTTTTTTAAAACGTATATCTCTTCAAAATGGCTGCTTTACCTGTTAAAGAAAATATGAAGTGATGCAGACATAGCAATAAAAATAAAACATTCATTTACGCACAAATTTGCTCTTCTCACTGTGTACTAGGTCACCATGGTTTGTCATTAATAAAAAGTGAGTTTTATATTAATTATATTGAAGTCAACACGCTAACTAACTCTTCCTGTCTGTCAGCGGCGATCCCATCCCTCGCATAGACTTCACAACAGAGGAGGTGCGAACCTGGGGCGAGGTGTTCAGGGAGCTCAACAAGTTGTACCCCAGCCATGCCTGCAAGGAGTATCTGAAGAACCTCCCTCTGCTGAGCAAATACTGCAGCTACAGCGAAGACAACATCCCCCAGCTGGAGGACGTCTCACACTTCCTCAGAGGTAACTGTTTGAACCTCAGCCATGGCAATTGAGCCAAATACTGACATATAGACCTACTGTGTATATTTTTTAAGTTTTCTAGCAATGATTAAAGTCAAGAAGGCCTTGTTGCCCCCCCATGAAGCTTTGGTGACCCCTAGTGGTGTTCCAGAAAGTTCATTCTTAAATCCACAGTTTAGGTCAGTGGTTCCCAACATGGGGGTGTCAATGGTGAGAAAAATAGCTGGCAAACCCCAAAACCCAGAGAAGGGTCCAACTGCAGTCCTCCCTCCTGAAGCCACTAGCTCTGTGAGCCAATGGGGTTTGAGCATGAGTAGTAGAGTTCCGTATGGAGTAAGATCAGTAAACTTAACTAACCCTAACCCTAACTTATTTCACCTTAGCCATCCACCAAAATTAGTTTCTGATCAAATAGAAATAAGCAGTCCAGTTGCTGAAGCTTTACTCATATTAGATCTACAAGGCCTAATTTAAACATTTGTTCCAACTTTCGTGAGGAAAGAGCACATTGAGAGGCCGTGTTAACCGGTGACTTTCAGCCAAATGCATCTCTGGTTACTCACAGTGACGGCAGCTGCTGAAAACATGAATAGAGCTTTTGAAATAAATGTTCAATATTTGTCTGGGGGAATTTAACACTATTATACAGGGGAATTCAGCTTGTTTCCCACATTATTAGAATGTTATGAGAGGTGTATGAGTCTTGCTGAGTACAACTTAACCTACATAAATGTTTAGTGTAGATATTAAACATAGATGAGTGTGTATTTTAATTCTTGTTTTGTTAGTGTTTTCAATAGCTGGCGTCACTATGAGCAACCTTTCTGCCAAAAAGTCACCAGTTATGGGTGCCCGGTTAGCTCAGTGGGTAGAGCTGGCAACCCATGTACTAAGGCTGAATTCTTGCTGCAGCGGCCCAGTGTTCAAATCCGACCTGCGGCCCTTTGCTGCGTGTCATCCACTCTGTCTCTCTGCCCCCTTTCCTGTTTGTCTCCAGCTGTCCTAAAGAGGCATAAAAGCCAAAAATATACTTTAAAAAAAAATCACCAGTCATAACATATTAACATATTTCATATATAATTAATACTTTGTGAACCAATAAACCTGAAAATTGAGACATCAATATTTAATTCCTCTGACCAGCAGGGAGCAACTTTCAGGGAAGCAATAATACCTGTATGAGGAGAGAGATCTGAAAATCCCTTGACTCAACTTTCTACTGAAAGGAGCATCCAGCCAGTTTGTGCCTTTGAGCTCTGGGAGGCGCTAGAGCAACTAAAAATTTATTTAAAAAGTCCTTCATCCCAAGTGCCGTTCATATTCCTATCTCTACAATGGGACTGATGAAACTGAAGCCACAGACACTGGCATGAACTGTTTCTAAATGTGTAATCTGACCATGTCTACACTGCAAACACAGTCTTCTAGAAACACACGCAAATATTCTCATATAATCACATTTTCTTGTATTAAACCAAACTCTATTTTATCTGAACTGATTCATGTAAATTGTGTGACAAGACATAACATGAGTATTGTGGGGTGTTTTTCTACAGAGCTCATATTAGATCAGAATTTATTTTAAAAATGAGTGGTGGTGTTTGTGTGTGTGTGTGTGAGCAGAGCGCTCAGGCTTCACCATCCGGCCGGTGGCAGGGTACCTCTCCCCCAGAGACTTTCTAGCAGGCTTGGCCTTCAGAGTATTCCACTGCACTCAGTACGTCCGCCACAGCTCCGACCCTCTGTATACACCCGAACCGTAAGAACACACACTTTCACTTTTTGATCATGAATTCTTGAGTGAGGCAATACCTGTGTTTACCTTTTAAAACGTGTGAGTGTGTTTGCTGCAGAGACACATGCCATGAGCTGCTGGGCCATGTTCCTCTGCTTGCTGAGCCCAGCTTTGCCCAGTTCTCCCAAGAGATCGGTTTAGCATCGCTGGGAGCTTCAGATGATGCCGTACAGAAACTGGCCACAGTGAGAAAACACCCACACACACACACACACACTAGGGATGTTCACAGTCTATAATCTCTATCTTTGTTGAAACCACAAAAATGTTTGTATTTGGACCAAACCAAAGAGGATACTACAACTAAAGAGCTTGAAATCCTTGTTCAAGGATCAGTTGCTTTAATTATATACTACAGTGTAACACTGAAAACAACATAACATGGTTTGGCTGCTAAACTTTTAAATTTTATTGAAACTGGCTGGCGTGTTGACATTTTGACTGCTTGTGAGTCTCCTAGGTTTCATTTTAGCCTGACAATTAGCATTGCATCCTACAAGGGATGCATTGCTAACTGTCAGGCAGCTGACTCACATAGACAGTTTGCTATGGGTCAAGTTCACCAAAGTTGAACTATGTAAACTTTGAGGGGATTTACTATATTTACTACCACATGTAAATCTATTGATTTGCCACAAAATGTTGCCATTTTAAATGTTGATGAGTCCAGGCCTTAAGGTTTAGAGTGTGTATTGTCAGCATTGTGGTGGAAAGAGATGTGATTTAAGCAGCTTAGAACTCGCTTAAGCAGGCGACCTGGTGGCTTTTTTTATATATATATTTGGAATATTCCTACCATATGCACAATCACATCTCACTTCACTTCTGCAGTGACATCTCATACTTACATTCTCATGCTGTGTATGAATGAGTGATTTAAAAGTTCCAACCTGTTTGGTTCCAGTGTTATTTCTTCACAGTAGAGTTTGGTCTGTGTAAGCAGGATGGCAGGTTAAGGGCCTATGGAGCTGGACTGCTCTCCTCCATCAGTGAACTCAAGGTGACTAGTGAACTTTGTACACTACAAGTTTATCTGTTTAACTTACTGCTTATATTGCGTATTTCCATTTGAGATTTGGCCTGTAGGTTTTCTTAGCTATGCCTTAAAAAATTAAGATATTTCAACAAAATTTGGTGAAAATGTGGCCATTTGTGGAGATTACCTAGACCAAGAAGAATTTTTCACATTATACTTCCTTTATTACAAAAGTATTTGTACATTCATAGTTCAGATGAATGAACAAACACTGACTGTATTAAGAACTTTGTTTTGTATTATGTGTATATGAAACAATCTCTTTTAAATCTCTGGATGCACTGTTTTAAACATAGAGATAAGACAATAAGTGATTTGATATAATAATGATTAAATGAAATTGAAGGGGATAATTGTGTCCCTTATAACATCTAGAATTGAAAATCTATATTTTTTTAAACCTAAAAGCAGTTACAATTGCTGGATTTGTCCCATGTCTCAAGAATCAGTGAACTCACATGTAGTCATCCAAAACCAAGTTACTTGACCAGCCAGATTAAGAAGGGCATTCTCTCAATATGTAAATTGTCTAGTGACTAAAATGTAAATCTGACCACAAAATGTCTCTTTCTTCTGTTAGCATGCTATGTCTGGTAAGGCTCGTATCCTTTCATTTGATCCCATGGTGACCTGTAAGCAGGAGTGCTTGATAACTACGTTCCAAGAAGTTTACTTTGTTTCCGACAGTTTTGAGGAAGCCAAGAACAAAATGAGGTCAGTCGAGTTCTGTCTGCTAAAATAAGTGCTTAATTATTATAATGTAGCTATAATCCATTCTCTAAGTTTGCATCTTTGTTCTAGTGAGCAAACAGTTGTCTTGACGCAGCACTGCAGTAACATTATCAGATGACTTTTTCAACATGGCAACCTAGAACAAGAGTTCAGCATTTTGGAAAATTGTATTCACTTCCTTTTGATACCATTCTCATGTCGTGCATTAGGTATAGAGCTATAAGAAGGGGGTGCTTATCTTATCTTAGCATAACAGCTCAACTGGCTCTCTGCAAAACTCAAAACTGCAAAATAGACAGGAAGTCACTGCACCTAGCTGTTGTTTGCCAAGAAATACGTTTTTACTATTTGTGTACAGATTCAAATGTGAGCTTTGGAAGTGTTTATATCAGAATCAGAATCAGAATTTCAAGAAATACTTTATTAAATCCCAGGGGGAAAATTACTTTCGTTACATATACTCCAGATGTAATAGACATACAATATATTAAGAATATAAAGGTTTAAAATGTACAGTTACACTTTATTAAAAGTATTTTTGAGCTTTAGACAGAGCTAACTATTTCCCCCTGGTTTCAGTCTTTGTGCTAAGTCTCTAGCTTTGTATTTAGTGTAGTCATGAGAGTGGTATCAATCTTCTCATCTCACTCATCTGGAAACAACATGAATCATTTCCCAGTCAAACTTTCTTCTTACCAACGGCAGATACTGTATCACAGCAAAAGTCTCCATGTTATGATGGTTAGCATTCCCAAGCATCTGGACCTTAGTCTAGCTGTAATAATGTTTTCCAAGTAGGTAACTCACAGTGTTGTTGTTTATGTTGATATATTCCACTAAAATTCTGAATATTTAAAAGTCCTCCCTGGAATTTCATTTTTGAGATGATGTTTTTAAATTGTCTTATACACACACAACTTTGGTTGAATGATTTTGTGATGTAAAAGGTTGAACTGGGCTATTCATGAATGACTTTGCTGTGTCTGCAGGGAGTTTGCCAAGACCATTCGGCGTCCATTCACAGTACACTACAATCCCTACACCCAGAGTGTGGATGTCCTGAAGGACACCAACAGCATCAATAGCATGGTGAAGGACATCCGGCACGAGCTGGACATTGTGGAAGACGCTCTGAACCGACTCAGCACCTGAGAGTCTGAGGAGGGGGGGGGGGTTGTTACCTGGGTCAGAAGAGGCTAGTTTGAGTTGGAATGGTTTGTTTGGGGATCAGTAAGTTGGATGGGGTAGATGAGAATGGGTTTCATTCATCAGACAAAGTCTGTCATTCAATGTAATTAAACACAATGGGTTTAATGGATAAAGGCCATGTCAAATGTCAATGTAAATAACAGTATTAACCCACACAAGACCAACAGTCTTGTGTTATCCAATGACGTGAATGCTTGCAAGTCATAAACATGGGAATCTTTAACAGCTCTACCACCCACATGACATGAATGCTGCACAAGTACCCAGTCACACCAGAAAGTGACAAAGTAAAATTCATTAGCAAGTCCTTGCAAAACTTGATAAAGAAGGGGCTACTTGCAGGTTGCAGTGGCTTCCTTTGGTTGTGGCTAGTTCCATATGCAGCAAAATTAACATAAAAAAGACAGCTCTGTTGGTGTTGCCTCTGAGAGGAGGGTGATGTAACAATTACAAAATGGGACACAGCTGATATGATTGACTGGAGTCTCAGATTCTCTCTGTTCCCTCAAAGGTCAGTTTTGAATTGATCAATGGCACAAGTGATAGGCTTAGGTTCAATGAAAAAAGACATTTGGAAAAATAAAACAATTTATTGATTTCTAATGCCACCTTTAGATATTTCTATTTAATGCTTTACTAATACTATATATAACTCTAAACCTGCCAACATTAGTGTAGTCTATATGCAGTGATCATCATTCCTGTGTCACCAATTAGGATATTCATGACTTTTTCTTTTGACACGTGGCCTGAGATACCACAAGTACCAAATAAAAGCTCAGAGCTTGGCTGTATACTTGGAGGCTGTAATATGTGGGTGCATAATTCTGTGATTGACATCCCTTATCATATAGGAATCAAGGAAATTGATTTATCGTTATACAACACGAGTTGGTTTAGCAAAATGAAAGTTCCATCATACTACACACATAGAAAAAGATAATTAAATTCTCAGAATATCAAGAAAATTGATCAAATAAACCAATATATACAGTTATTTAAAAACATATATACATACATGTGTACACCCAAGAAATAACTCTGCAGTGCATTTTTTGGACCATAAAATATAAAAAGAATGTGGAGTGATAATGTCTTGCCTAAATAGGTAACACCCTATAATTTATGTTTATTTTTATAATATAATTTTAACTGTATAGTAAAGTTCTAACTTTGTTGCCACCATGTGAAGGTTAATGTCTAATGCTACCAATTCACACTGTGAATATGGAGCTTGGTATTTAATGTTTCTGGTGACTGCTTTCTATTTGTTTGTGCCTTTCCTCTGTAAATGGAGCACTACTGTATGCAGTGCTGTTGACAGCTGGCATACCCAGACAGCAATGGATTACAATACCTTTGTTAACTAGATAAGGAAGTGGTGTCCAAGCGCCTTGTTTTGAAATATATGCAATAAACAACTTTTAAATCCCAAATGTCACCACCGTGTGTGTGAGTTCACAACAGACAGAAGGATGCACACAATAAGGTTCAAAAACTGCATTGAACTGGTGTTTTTTTTCGTTCAGGTCCGGTGGATTCTTACAAATACCAT